ATATTCGACATTCACTCTCTGGTTTATTTTTTTCTCTAAAATCACGCAAACAATATATTTTCCTTTCTGAAAATCAATATCTGAAGGTGACGGTAAAAATCTGTTTTTCCTCTAAAATTAATTTTTTTTCGTTTATAAACAAAAACAACATTGTCATTAAATAAATAAAAACAAGTTATCCGAGTTGGTGAAGGCTTTTATATATATATTCCATCGACAAAAGAGAAATACATCTGTATATATAGATATGTGTGTACTAAATAATAAAAATCTCTCATGGCTCAGTTGGTTCACGTGCTTGTCTATGGTGCTCTGTTTCTCAGGTTCAAATCCAGGGAATAACAATTTTTTTGATTTTTCATCCAACCAAAACGGTGTCGTTTTTAGTAAGCTGACGTGTCTCTTGCCATGTCATACTCCGTCATGCCTCGTCAACATTTTTTAACAGTTGACTAAGGTCAAGATAGATTTTGACCCATATATTAAAGTTCAGATCGTAAATTTGAATTTTTATATAATATAGATAGAAATTAGCACCGTATTTTAGTTTGGATTTTTTTTGGCACATCAAATTTAGTTCGGATTGGTTTTGGCCCTTTTTCCATATAGTATGAATTACGTTTACAAAATGTCAACAACAATTAAAAAAAAAAATGTCAAATGCATTTTAGAGCTTGATGAGAACATCGCGCTCAACTTATGAAATAAACAAACTCTACACAAATCCATCTACCGATAACCCTCTAAATATTCTATCAAATCCTGCAACCCTAAACTACGGTTATAAATGTGGTTCGCTTATATCTCTCAATCTCAATCAAACATCTCTATATTCTTTGATATGTCCCAAGTTTGAAACTGAAAACCCCAGGTTTCGAATAGCAAAGCTTAAAGAGAAGGAAAAAAAGCTTAAATATCATGCAAAAAACAAACATTATAAACATAAAGACTTGTAAAATCCATTAGATCACCCCTCCGGTTCTTGAGAAATTGTTTTAAGAATCTACAAATTTTACAAATACATACTCAAGAGACATTTTAATAAAGTTTAAATAGCACCAATGTTTTTGAGGCCAAGGACAACTCCGACGCCGATGATATGACCAAAGCTACCACAAGCCAACGTATCGGCGAGGGTGAACCCGGCCGGGTCACCCGTTTGTAGACCCGATTCACGTGACTCCAGCTTAAGTCCAGCTGTCGCTTTCCTATTGGCTGATGGTGCAAGTCCGAATCTCCCCGCGAACAGCATCAGGGTCGTCGACGTTACCATTATCTAATTTAAGTGTAATTAATTCTCCCTTAAACGTAATTAAAAAAGCTTAATTAAAGGTTTTTTTTTAGTTACCAGATTTGTTGATGACCCAATGAAGTCACCACACTTTGCACCCAAAGCTCCATTTCCCTTGCGCCTCATGGGCTGAACAGTTGCCTGATAAAAAGAATTTTTTTTTTGAAAAATTGTTATTAATATTTTCTCTTTCAAAATTATTTTGCAATGTGATAAATTTGATACTAAATTACAAATTCGTTTTCCTTCATTATGATAACTAATTCTCCAATGAATCACCCTTGAAAACATATAAAAATCATTGACAAAAATAGACTCCAAGAAAATTGTTTTTTATCAATGCCTATACGTATATAATCATGTATAGAAGATCAAATCACATTTTTAAATCTAAAAGTTAAATTTAAGAACAATGAAAAACAACTAACCAGGCCTTGAACGGGAGCTGCAGAGATCTTGCAGGCTCGAAGTCCATTGAACTGAGGCAGTGTAGTCATCACAGTGCTGGCCATGTTTCCTCGACTCTTAAATTTTAGAGTTAAATCGAAAAACCTCTTATATTCTTGTGCGATATTGACTCTTTAATTTTCGCAGTTTTCCTTCGTATTGTTTTTAAAATGCTTTAGCCAAGAATCATCGTGTGGCTTTGGCGATCACAGAAATGGATTCTGTTTTGGTCACTTCTTGCTGACTCGTCGAGTGGCTATTGGCGGATTTTAATTCTGGATAAGGCTGTCGTGTCATATCACACCGCAGATTTTTTGTTCTGAAACTTATCTTATTGGGGCTTCAAACCAGGCCCATTACGAAAGTACCACTAGCCCTATAAACTCTTCCTTCGTAAATATCACACGATGCTATTTGAGGAGAATGGGAAAGACATCATTTTATTCAGGGACGAACTTGCCATGAAGGCAAGCTTAGTGAATTTTTTATCCTCTTGTGAATTTTATAAATTTTCAAACCACTCGCTCACTCGCAGAGTCGTCGCAGATGAATTATATGGTCATTCAGTTCTCTTCTTTTATTTTAAAGTGTAGCTTAAAATTCTTATCCACAATTCATCTTCTTGACTCACTTGAACTCCAAGTTATCATTGCACTTCTAAATGAAAAATTCTACAAGTTGTATTAACATGTTTTTTTTTTTTTCTAGAGAGATAGTTGTATTAAGATGTTGTTACTTAGATACAAAGTTTAATTTAATATTTGCTGTAACTCGAACTCGAAATTAAGATTAGTTTTTGACCGAATTTATAAATATCAACGACGTCAAACCCGTTGGTCTGAAAATTTAATATGGATAAAATTTCAGACCAAATCCACGTATATTATTCAATACTATAATGAGACATCTTTGTTATTTCCTCTAACAAGCCAAGAACAATTATTTCCCAAAGTTTTTATTTTGTGTTTTACGTTAATGTTCCTATCCATCTTAAGAGAAAATTTGGAATTATATAACCTAACGCAAAAGCCGACGCAGTAGACTCTTGTCTGAGTTCATTATAATAATAATTAATTTCATAAAATATAATGTATCTAGAGCAGCCGTAATTATTCAATCCTCAAAGCTGCCAAACAATAAAATAGTAAGAAATTGTCAACATGGCCTCTTATTATTACTTTGACCAACTAAATAGAGAAAAATAGAAATCTGTTTTGACTAGTTTAGCTGAACCGGTATTCTGATTGATTTTATTAGCAACCAACATGCGCTTACTCACAGATAAAGCTAAACCGATTATTATACCGGCAATAACTTCCGTACCGAACAAATTAACAATTAGACCGGGTCAAACATTTATCATTCGTCTATGGATTTGAGAATCTACCAAGAAGTTACATATATATGAGCGTGTGATCATACACAATTTCTTCATATATATAACACATAGAGATCAACTCCAAAACACATCGATCTCCTTCTTGCTAACACATTATATTTTTCAACAACAACAAAAAAAATCGTTCATCATCATCTTCATCACCTGAACTCTCCGATCAATAAACTCAGAAATGGAAAACTCACCGATCAAAACTCCATTAAGAAAGGTAAAAAGAAGAGGAACAAAACGGGCCTGGAGATTGAAGCAAAAGCTGAAGCTGACATGGAAGTCCATCAAGATCAGGGTCAGGTCACATCTACCAGGTTTCTTGTCAACCAAAAAACACCTCACACACGTGAAATCACGAAATCAAGAACAAGAATTAGCTCAAATGGCCCGGAAGATCTGCAAGATCTCCAACGACTCGACCAAATCGCTGGCGTATCTACTTCAGCTTCCCAAATACTCAGCCGCAGATTTCCTAGACCGCGGAGATCTGATGACTCCAGCTGCGTCTCCAAGGGAAAACATATCCAAGATGTGGCGTGAGCTTCACGGTAGCAAAAACTGGGAGAATCTTCTTGATCCTCTGCATCCATGGCTGAGGAGAGAAATAACCAAATACGGAGAATTCGTGGAGTCAGTCTATGATTCACTGGACTTCGATCCTTTGTCCGAGTTTTGCGGAAGCTGTAGATACAACAGGAACAAACTCTTCGAGGAGCTTGGTTTAACAAGACATGGTTACAAGGTAACCAAATACATCTACGCGATGTCTCATGTTGATGTTCCTCAGTGGTTCTTAAGCTCTTCTTTGGGAGAGACATGGAGCAAAGACTCGAACTGGATGGGGTTTGTCGCAGTGAGTGGAGACAGAGAGTCGATGAGGATCGGTCGGAGAGACATCGTTGTGGCGTGGCGTGGAACCGTGACTCCCACGGAATGGTTCATGGATCTTAGAACGAGTAAAGAACCGTTCGATTGTGAAGGACAACATGGCAAGAACGTTGTCAAGGTACAAAGCGGGTTTTTCAGTATCTACAACTCCAAAAGCGAACTCACAAGGTACAATAAAGAGAGTGCATCTGAGCAGACGATGGAGGAAGTGAAGCGGCTAGCGAAGTTTTTTAAAGATAGAGGTGAAGAAGTGAGCCTAACCGTGACCGGTCATAGCCTTGGCGGTGCATTGGCGCTTATGAACGCTTACGAGGCGGCGAAAGATGTTCCAGAGTTATCTGGTAACGTTTCTGTGATCTCATTTGGCGCGCCACGAGTAGGTAACTTGGCATTCAAGGAAAGGCTAAACACTTTAGGTGTTAAGGTGTTACGCGTGGTGAACAAGCAAGACATTGTACCTAAGCTTCCTGGTATCGTGTTCAACAAGGTTCTAAATAAACTCAACCCTATAACTTCGAGGCTCAATTGGGTCTACAGGCACGTCGGGACGCAGCTTAAGCTTAATGTATTCAGCTCGCCTTACGTGAAACGCGATTCGGACTTAGCAGGGTCTCATAATCTCGAGGTGTATCTCCATGTTTTGGATGGCTTCCACAGGAAGAAATCAGGGTTTAGGGTTAACGCGAGGAGAGACGTTGCTTCTGTGAACAAGAGCACAAACATGTTGTTGGATCATCTAAGAATACCTGAGTGTTGGTACCAAGTGGCACATAAGGGTCTGATCCTCAACAAACAGACCGGCCGGTGGGTGAAGCCGGTCCGTGCGCCTGAAGACATTCCCTCTCCGTTATCGACCGGACCAAAACCGATTTCTAGCTTATGAGAAATATTATTTTCAATATTTTTTTTTTACGTTTTCTTGAATCTTTTAATTCGTCTTTGCGAGTTTTAATTTATTACAACATTTCGATGTACATAGATCAAGTTGTGAAAGTAATGTATTTATGTTTAGAAGTACTTTTATACAAGTTACAACAGTCAAAGAAATTATAACGTTGTACATTGCAAAAGATAAGAACTAAAATTCTAATTACATACATGTTAACTTTTCTAAACCAACACAAATACCAAACAAGAAGTAGAAATGAGATAGTTTACAAATTTAAGCTAGCGGCCTATATGTTGAGTCTTGATAGCAAGACAAACAATAGAAGGTTTATCCATCTAATATCAAATTATGTTTGCGTTTATAATTTGATACTTCCTTAATTAACAAAAAAAACGATTTGTTTTTGTAATGTAAGTTTTTACTTCTACTTAAAGAAGCGTAAACATAAATATTCCGTTTCAAATAAACCTCCAAACAGTTCGTAAACTGATAAACTAACCGGATTCGATTTCTATTAGCAATAGCAGTAGAGAATCATCCTGGGAAACATCTTTTTTTGTTGTCTTCATGGATTTTGATTAGAACAATGATGAAGACAGATCAAGCTGATGTTTTAAAAGTAGCTTACGAAGTTACAACAACCAAAGAACACATACAATGAAGATCCTAAACAAACCCTAAAATCACACACAACTCAATAAAAAAAGCTTCTAAAAAAACCAACAAAACAAACCTATGAGATAATTGGAAATTGACTGGAATTCAAATCTTAAGCGGCTGAAATTGCAGCATAGTCTTGATAACGAGACATGGCGCCTTTAAACTGGTGATCTTCCGGTTTGTGAGAGCTCAAGCTATGCGGAATATACGATCTGAAAATCTCCTCCAGGTCAGGACTCTGCTTCAGCTCACGGCAAGCCACCTCGACAGCTGTGTGTTGGAACCCTTTGTAGAATTTCTGGCGACACACGTATCCGAAAACGAGAGAGATGGCGATGAGAGGAACCACGAGGATCGCCCAAATGAATTCCTTGACTCCCAAGAAACCAAACATAAGCACTTGGAACAGAAACAATGCCGCTAGTATGCGAGTGTGAATATGCGGCCACATCCTTCCGTAGCTCTCGTATGATGGAACGTACACTTTCAACGCCTGTCACAGCCCGTAGAAACCGGATCAAAATCACGTTTTTACAGATCAAGATTCACCTCTTTAAAGGTAACTAGGGTTTTAAACCTAAGACAAAGGGAGAAAAAGTCTGACCTGATTCCTGAGGATGAGCCACCCTAAACCGAAGTAGATGACGGCGAATACAAGGATTACAGGAGCGATTACGGAATAGCAGAAGGTGATTGTGAGGATGAGCATGTCTCCGGGAACCCTAGTTCCATAGCTTAAGTCTCCTGGGTACCAAGCTTCCTTGACCTCTGCTTCGGTTTTGCAGAGATACTTCTTTTTCAGATGGAATATTATCAAAGGTATGATCCGAGACAGCTCGAGGCCATAACCAACAAAGAACCTGAAGTTTAAAGAAAGATTCAATGAACAAAAGATTTAGAGAACAAAGGAGCAAAATGTATATGTTAATATAAGTCAGGGCTCAAGAGGAAGGAAAAACTCACTTGAGCGCAACATAGGTCAAGAAGAAAGTCGCGTTCTTGGGGAGACTAGTAGCAAGAACGGTTACGATGGAGTTTGGTTTCTTCTCGAGAGCCTTCAAATTGTCGAACAAACTCCCAGCTAAGGTTACACCGAGGAAGACATTCAAGACCGAGAAGTAAAAGTACTTGCCCGAGGCAGCTCTGATGGCGTGGCTCACCGAAGGAATCCCCTCGGCTTTGGAGAGGAACAAGAGAAACTTAGGCAATATCGCCAAGAAAACGAGAAGCGCGATCTGAGGAAGGTAAGACTCAAGGATGGTTCTTATGAAGGTTATCTTCACAATCGGCTTTATGAAAGGAACAGCCTTCTGGAGATTCGCAAGGGTAGTGATTGCAGAGATGAACGTGATCGGGATCATGTAGAACAGAATGGTTAGCGCAACGAAGAAGTAGATGAAGTATTGCCTGACTATTCTACTGAAAAGCTTGATCTTGAGATTCTTCCAGATGAGCTGGCGAGGCTCAGGAGCTTCAGTCACTGTCCACTTATCGACCATCTGGCTGTGTAGAGACTGAGCGGCTAAAGCGGCAACAACTCGGTCGTTGAAGAAAACAATCGCTGCGGTTTGCTGCTTCTCAGCAAGAACCGATTTCTGCTCTGCTTCTAGTTTGCCTACAGATTCGTTGATTAGCTCGGTGTAATACTCAATGCTGTCTACTTGTTTTCCGACTAGACCACAAAAGCCGGTTTTGTTCGTTGGTCGGTTCTTAGTCTCTTCAAATACGGCTTCTGCACGCGCAAGCTTCTTCTTGTAACCTTCCAAGTTTCCCCATATCTTATTAACCTACATTAAGATGCATAAAACACCTTAAAACATAAGGCAATCAAATAAAAGATTGAAACTTTAAAGGCAGAACAAGCAGATAGATACCTTGCTGTTTTCTGTAACGACAAGCGATCTGTAGAATGTCTCGGGGTATATTCGTCTGAAATAAGAATCGATGAACTCTTTCTGCGTCTGCCCGTTAGGTGGGGAAGGTATATCCCTAACAAGAATAGCGAATTGCTCGGGGATTACATCAGCAGACATCAGAGCTTGAGCTCTCAATCTGGAGACATGCTTGTAAGCTTTCCACAACATGAAATACGTGACCAGAGATACCCAGTAAACCGCTCCTAGGAACGCCCACAGCCTCGGACTCCTTTTCTGTTAAAACAGTTTGCTTAAAATGAATCAAAACTGCGATATCTAAAATCGAATAAAGGAAAGTCAAACGAAGATTGTGTTTGTGTTTACTTACTGTGATGTTAGCCATTGATAGATTATCAAGTTGGCTAAAAGTTACTTTGCTTACGGTTTCTGTGGCGTTTCTTGATTTGCTCTTTAGACTGTCGTCTGTAGCGGCTAATGGGAGTAGAGTCGGTAAGATAAGAACACTGGACAATGCAAATATCCCCAGAACTGTTTCAAACAGAAGCCAATTTCAAGACATCAGATTTCTCATCTTCTTTTTTGAGCAATGAAGAAGAAGACGCTGAACATATCCAGAAGAAAGAATCTCTTCTTCGTCTTCACCAGAATCACAGGCTCATATACATATAGATACAAGGCTTAAAAAAAATCAGAACTTTACGTGGCAAAAAATTCTGTCTACTGGTTCTACTTTCCATCCCCAATGTCTGTCTACAAGTAATGAGATGTAAGTTCAAAAAAGGTTCTTTCTTTAAGCAGATATCGACAAAGTAAAACAGAGATACCATAACATGACAAACAAAATCGAATTTTTCCCAAAAAACTCTCCTCCTAGGAAACGTTTTTTCCCCCAATTTTGAACAAAGATGGAAACTTTCAAGTTTTGAATTCCAAACCCAGATCAGAAGCAACGAGATTCAGAAGAGATCCATCAAACCCCAAAATTGGAACCGCTAATAAGAAGACAAACTAAAAGTTTCCAATGACGGAGAGAGAGAAAAAGAAGCTAAACCAGTGCTCAAGAAGACGAAGTAGACGGCAGTGTCGACGCCGGATATATTAACGACATCTTGTTCGGAGGAAGTAAAAGCTTCACGGATCCAAGCAAATGGGTTCCGGGTCAAGGAGGTGCCTTCCCATGGTTCCATCCCTTTAAGGATCCGATTCGAGTAATAAATCGGAACGTTACCGGGTCTCCGGGAAAGCCAAGCGAAGAGAAGCATGAGGACGACGAAGATTAGTGCGGATGTCCCTAAGGACAGAAGAAAAGCTCCAAAATCCATCCGAGTTTTGTCAGAGGAGCCTGCTCTATCTCTCTATGTGTCTAATCTGATCTGTTTCTCTTCAATTTTCCAAAGTTTATGGTCAAGGGGGCAAAAGGAAAGTAACCGTTTGTCGTCGAGGCTGTAAATTGGAGAGAGAGAGTATCTCGTTGTTCTTCCCTCCTTGTGCTGGTAATTGCAGGAGAGAGGAAAGGTTTCTCCTTTTTTGTTGTATTCACAGGAAAGGAAAGGAAAAGAAAAGAAAAAAAAGGAAGAAAGACAAAGAGTATTGAGTTTTTTTTTTGTTTTGTTTGTTGTTTGTTCTTTTGAATTGGGTTTGTATGAGGAGAAACAATTTTTCAGATTGAAGTGATTAAATGGTGAGAGAGGAGTGTGAAGAGCGTGTTTAAGTGAGAAGGCCGACAGGTGTTGATGAAAGAGACACCAAAGGAGAAGGATGTAACCCTACTTCAGGGACGTCTCTTTTTAACCTTTTTTTGTCGTCGACGTCTCTTTTTACCTAATTTGAATTTTTTGTTTTTTTAACAATATTATCCTTATGTTTTCATTGGTTATTGCATAATTTATAGAAGCATTTACGGTTTTTTATTTTACTTTAAACCATTATTTTTGTTTAGGTTTTTGTGTATTGTGAGTTTTAATAATTTTAACCTTTGTTGTCTTTTTAGATATTTCTGTAATGAATGGTTCTTGCGATAAAGTGCAACGGACGCAATCTTCAATAAGGCTTCGACTATGATGAAGCACAGTCAAAGCTTGAAAAAGTAGAATTGTTAGGGAAAATTGTGGACTAAACTAAATAACAGGCTGAGATTCATATGTGGCCGCAAAACTAAATTAGCAAATGACAGTTCATTATGTTACAAAAAAAATGACAGTTTTATAGGAAATACTTGGCAGAAATATAGAAAGATTGCTTGAAGTCAGAGTCGCTATGCTAAACTTGGTCAATTTGCTTAACTCTCTATATGCATGCTTCCTCCTGTTCTTTTTTTTTTTTTTTTTCCACAGCCCAACTATTACATCACATTTGGCCCATTAAAGAGTTGGTCCGAAAACCGTCTTCAACTAATTTAACTAACTCGGTATGAATGAATTGGGAGAAAATACAGCCTCTTGCTCGAGCTCTTTTTGCAAGACTATCCGCTCGGACATTTGAATTTCTGGGGATATGGGAGAGAGTGAAATCCAAAAAAATTTCCCGAAGATTGCGGAAGGTTTCTAACTCTGATAAAAATGATGGCCAATCTGATGGCGATTCAGACATGCTTCCTCCTGTTCTTTTATAAATAATGTTTTAGAGAATTTTTTGTTCTCAAATATATGATATTTTAAATTCTAACGTAAAATTAACTATATATTTTCTTTTACCATTTGTAATATGCAAATTATTTTATCATTGGTTGAAATATGTTTGAATGATTAACAAATGATGTTTTAGAATAGAGAAAAAAAAACAAAAATTAAATAGAGTACAATTTAATTTTTTTAAAACAAATTAGTGGAGTATTAGCTGACAAGATCATATTCTTTCTCTTTTAGTCAAAATGCAAAATTATATTCAAACAAATATGTATATATATATATAAACATGATCTCAGTGGATCAATGTGGGAGAGATACAGAAATACAAGTGTGATGGTTAATGGCTTCCTGCATTTTTAGCGGTTTTTAAATAGTTTTTAAGGCTATATATGTTTTTGGAGACGAAAAAATTAGAGCTAAAACATTTTGTTTTCAAATTTAGTTACAGAATATAAACAAGCTCTAAAGTATTGATTTACTAAAATTTCTTACGTTCTTCAAACGTATGGAATTACTCAATCTCACTCTGATTATTTAGTTATTATAAAAATTTATTTCAGTTATTCTACTTTTCAAACAGTACATATCATTATGTTTTTACACAAAAGATTTGGTTCTCCTTTTCTTTTTAAAATTAGCATTTGAGGTATTTGAGGTCCGAAAACACTCGACTAATTTTCTGGTGGAATGTGAGGTCGACGGGTTACACCCCACGAAACCAAGTTTTAATGTGATATAATTTTGTACTTAATGAAAGCGATTAGTGATCTAGACCAACAAATCAACTCTTCTTACAAATGGGAATCACCTCGCTACAATCACTTGGTTAAAAAAATTAGGTTTTCTTTATTTTTTATCAACATTTTTTTTTTTGATAACTCAGGTGTCCTGGCCTCCAGCAAAGTGGGTTCAAACTAACAACGTGGACAGCCAAATGGCACTCCACGTGTCAACTCCTGAGACGCTGCAGCTCATATGTGAATTTTGCAGTGGCTGCGGTTCGAACTCGTGATGGCATATACTTTAGCTGAGGGTCTTTTACCACCAGAGCTAGAGGCTCCGATTGTTATTATTATTTTTTTTTAATCAACGTTGAGATCGTTCTCACATTTTACTTATATTTTACATTTACTACTCCATATCTCTATGTTTTTATTAAACGTAAGTCTCCTGTAAATATATATATATATATATATATATATATTCGCGTAGAAATTACATACAGAGGCCATATATAAAAGAAATCGTTGATATAGGTTCAAGTCTTCAAGAAGTCAGGAAAAATCTCGAGAGACGTCGACGACATGCTTGAAGATAAGAGTGAAGGTGAAATGATCTGTCATGTTTTATTGGTGTTTGCCCTTATTCTCTTGTTTTAATTATATTATTATTATTATTATTATTATTATTATTATTATTATTATTATTCTTATTATTATTATTATTATTATTATTCTTCTTCTTAATATTAGTGGCCATTTTTTTGCCATGTATGATTGTATCTAATTAGCTCCTAATTAATTAAACTACTGTTTTGTTTGTTGTGTTTTTATGACGCGACGTCGATTGGGTCCACACTATAAAGACTTAAGTATATAGTATGTCAATAAAACTGTTGGCATCCAACTGAATAAAAAATTAATCATTTATTAGATTTTGGGTGCATAAAATTTTAAATTTTTAGATAAATGCGAATATGGAAATTGTTTACAGTATTCACCACACAAAGCAGGAGGGAACAAAAAAAGGCTGTTGTCCAGCTATTGCCACGTCGACATAAACTTCATTGCCGACATCGAAAAAACCTTGTGTGGGTTCCATACTTTATCTCTAGTTTATTATTTGAAACCCAAAAGTCTTATCTACAAGATATTTCAGTTGTTTGTTATTTGAAAGTAACGTGGTTCACAGATTCGGTAGGTTGTTTGGCTGTTGATCGGGTCCAAAGTCTTATTGTTTATTTGCTTTTCTTTCTTTTTTGGTATAATAGATTTTATGTTCATATCGACATTGTACAGAAGAAACTAAAGACCCACCACGCGAGGATGGAATTGATTAAAGAATATATCAAAAAACGATGAAATGACTGATCCAATATCTAAAATGAAAGTGTTAGCAAACATGGTCACTATTCTTCTTTCATATAAAACAAAACGAACATATCCAATTCTTTGTGAAGAAAAAACTGTCCAAAATTCGAGTTCTCAAATAACCGTGGTACGAGGACAAACCATTTCATCTTGGGTTGACGGTAAGTTGGATGAAGTTGACTTTTTTTCTAGAGAGATTAAGTTAACTATATTGATAAATAGATTAATTTTTTTTAAAAAATAGATTAATTTTTTTCTTAGGTGTGAAACATGTTAATTCAAGAATTTTATGTTATTTATATCAGTTTGCTGATTTCACTCCCAATTACCCACAGAACAAAAAACACAAACAGATGGCTTTCTCAAGTTTACGTTGAGTTTTGAAATCATGGGCAAAATCAGTAAATCTAAAACTATGTTATATTAATGAAAATTGTAGTATCCCAAAGTACATTTTTTTCTTTCTTTTTTCCTACTTGTAAATAAATTACTCTTGTCGAGTAGTAAATCATATTTGACATTACAATTCCAACAAAAAAATTAGGGTAATTTTAATTTTAAATTTTAGATAATATCAATATACTAAGCCAAAAAAAAAAAACAAAGTAAGGATCCAATAACAGTAGATTTCACATTGTAAGCTTCGTCGCTTTCACGACAGAATATGTTACATTTGTCCATAAACTTGTATTTGCTTGGAAAAAGAGTGCCATAGTCAAAGGTCTAGACTGCCTGGAACTCGAATCTTAAAATTATTAGAACTTATTCATTTTATAATATATAAGCTTTGTAAGAACGCGCGCAATGATCCATTTTTTATGTTGCTACCATACTCTAATCGTCTGATTTGTGGATTATACAAAAATAAATCAAACATAAGGATTTCCAAACTATCTTGATTGTGTAATCATTGTATTGGAGACGTGATTCCTACTATTAACGTTTCGTTTGAATGATATGGCATGACTTGCAGTCAAAGGCTATATAACTACGTACCCGGTACCTTAACAATCATAATTATTCCAAGATTGAATATCAGGCTATTTTATTTTGCAATATTCTCTGATGTTGTCGCTATGCAATGAATCAATCACATGTAATATTGACAATCGCAATCATAGATTAGGGGCGTACATATAATAAACAAGAACAAATTAAATGGTTCGTATTATCTCATGCCAAAATAATTGTCTATACTTAACTTGTATATCTGAGCAAGTTATACCATTTCTATCTCCATATACTTATTCTATGAGAGTACTCTTATTTTCTAACTCATCGATTACAGTTTTCAAAGTTTAGCACACGAATATGATGTCCCGTTATGCCCGGCCCAAGCAAAGATATATGTATATTCTTAACATCCATATTAGCCCAGATAAGATTTGTGGCCAAATAGTCCATAACCAACATCCATTAAGCTTATTGTAAAACCGTCCAATCATCTGTTTTACGAGGCCTAATAAACGCATGTGAGGCTCACACAATGGCTTCTACTATATATCGACCAGGATTTTCAAACTAAATTGAATGTCTTATAATGTTTTAAATTAAAATCTAAGCACCAAAGTTGTATTTGAGACAATGGAAGTCGTGCAAAATTGATACATGGTGGATGCCTCACAGAGAAACGGAGTGTGGGTAGTGCTTTTTTGATGAGTTATATTGGTATGTTCTGCTACACACACACACACAAAAGGATGGTATGTTTTTATCCAATCTTGGCATAACCGGTTTTCTGTAGATCCATTTTTGGGGTTATTGGTTATTAGGTTTAATTCAAGCCATAAGTCATATTGCTCAGCTTAAGGCTATCACCATAGTAATATATACATAGTTGATTGTGGATACCAACTAAACTAGATCCATTTTTGGGGTTATTGGTTATTAGGTTTGATTCAAGCCATAAGTCATATTGCTCAGCTTA